GTCAGTTAGGGTATGGAGTGCCCTCCCAGAGTTTAAAAAGGGCTGGCTGGTGGTGAGTCACCACCACTGGTGTTGACAAATCCCATAACCGAGGGTTTACCTTCATGGGACAGACTGGCCATTGGGGATTTGATGAATCAGGGGAAGGGGTGGGAGAGGTTAGAGAAGTGATCAGAGGGAGTAGGAGAAAAGCTGAAGGTTGTCATGGTAGAATCTGGAGACTGGAGCCCAGTTGGAATAGGATGTCCCATCCCGGTAGGGCAACCAGGCAGGAAGGGATTACCAGGAAGGAGTGGGAGAACGGGTGGTCTTCCAATTGACAAGGCAAGTCTGGCGTTTGCCTAGGGTGGGAGGGAGTCCCATCAATCCCCATTACATAAATTGAAGAGGGCAGGAATGGGCCCGCATAGGCCAGCAGGACATAATAGGTAGCCCTCATATCCACCAGGAATTCTGTGGACTTACCCGCTACCTGGAGCATTACCCTGGGCTTGGTGAGGGTGATAGGGGTCCCTGAGTCTGGGCTCCATCAGTCTTTGGCCATTCCCAGCAGTTCTAGTGTGGAGTCCTCTTGGGGAGTCAGGCTTCTACGTAGAGGCACAGAAGTAGGGCCTCCCCTGAGCAGTCCCTCTTCCAGTGGCCCAGTTGGCCACATGTGGGGTATGGCCGGGTGGGTGTACGAGGGTTGGGACATGCTCGAGCCCAATGTCCCTCTCGTCCGCACTTGAAGCATGCCCCAGGGAGCTGGTTGCACTAGACCCCTCTTCCCTCTGCCAGCTGCAGGTCATGTGACCGCGTGTGCATGCTTACAGGCGACAGCAATATCACCTGGATGCTGGTCATAGGTAATGGGAAAAGGGGTTCATCGCAGGTTATGGTGAAAGTAGGGTTAGATGAAGGACTGGTTTCAGGGGGTGGCTGGATAAATGATGGAGAGGATGGCTGCAGGATGGGAGATGGCAGGGTGGCAGAGGGAGGCACAGAACATGGCAGTGGGGCAGCAGAGGGTGGGATGGCAGGGGGAAGGATGGAACATGGTGGTGGGGTTGCAGAGGGTGGGACCCACAGGGGGCAGAACAGAAAATGACGGCAGTTGGAAGAGTACACATATGGGGGCAGGAGGTTCCTGGCTAGCTATGGGGTCCCCAGGATCTCAGGAGGTCCAAAAAAGGTGGAGGGTGGAGAGTTTGGCAGTGACAAAGAGGCGTCCTTAGTAGGTTGGGCCCTGGTCCTGGCCCGCAAGACCTGGGCCATGGAACAGGAGGAGAGAAGCATAGGGCAGGAGTGGAGGTCCCAGAAAGCCTGGACATATGGGACCTCTGACCATTTTATCTCCCTGCGGCAGAAATTGTCAAGGTCAGTGAGGACATTAGGAACAAAGGTTCCCTCAGGGGGCCACTTAGATCCGTTTTCAAGTACATAATTAGGCCATACCTGGGTGGAGTAGATTAGGCGTTTATGCCGAAGGTCTTGGGCCAGTCCCAGTTGCTTCAAGTTCTTGACAAGGCAGGCCAGGGGAATTTTGAGTCCCACCCTCGGGATTAGCCAGATCCCATGGTCTCCCCATCAGCCCAGGATCTACTGGAATCGGGCAAGGAATCCCCTGTCCCAAACTTCAGTAGATGGATATGAGGTCAGTCCTCAATGGGGCCAAGCCAGCAGCCAGGATGTCTCCATAGCTGCTGGGAAGCTAAGCGGAGAACAGGGCCTGTGTGCACATGACTTGGAAAAACAGGTCCCTGTCCGGACGGTGAGGCTGGCCAGAGATTGCAGAGACTGGGCCAACCTAGAGGAGGGAGGGAGAGCAGGGGAGGAGTTACTTACAGTTGGTCAAGCGTGGTCCATAGTCAGCCTGGGGCACCAGATTCAGGGAGTGAGGGGACCTCGAACCTGGAAAGGGGAGGCACACATCCTCAGCTCCCAGGTTTTGGCACCATCTGCAAGGTGTCTGGCGCTTAGCAAATCTTCCCAGCCAGATAAATCAATTAATTCACAAGCTTTTTTTTTTTTTTTTTTTTTTTGACAGGCAGAGTGGACAGTGAGAGAGAGAGAGAGACAGAGAGAAAGGTCTTCCTTTGCCATTGGTTCACCCTCCAATGACAGCCGTGGCCGGCGCGCTGCAGCCGGCGCACCGCGCTGATCTGATGGCAGGAGCCAGGTACTTATCCTGGTCTCCCATGGGGTGCAGGGCCCAAGGACTTGGACCATCCTCCACTGCACTCCCTGGCCACAGCAGAGAGCTGGCCTGGAAGAGGGGCAACCGGGACAGAATCTGGTGCCCCGACCGGGACTAGAACCCGGTGTGCCGGCACCACCAGGTAAAAGATTAGCCTACTGAGCCGCGGCGCCGGCCTATTCACAAGCTTTTATTGGGGTTCCGATCCCGGGCGAGATTCACTGGTCCCAACAGAGCGGGGGAGCTGGGGAAGTCACGCATCAGAGGTTGGGAGGGCTCCTTTTGTAGATACAGGGCCTGGGGGTTAAAGGTTGAGGCAGGTCTGATCCTCATTGGGACCTTGACAAGGACTTTTCATTCCCGGAAGTGCAGGTAGGGACTCTCCATTCCCAGAAGTGTGGGCCTTCTCTCCTTGCAGATCCCAAAGCTACCACCTCCTTGGTTTGAAAAATATATATTGATGCAGTCAAATACAGAGTTTGTGTGTTTACAAGGATAATATTAATATATAAAAGAATTTTTTAACTGTAATTATGAACTTAGCATTCTCTTGGATGGAACATCTCCCAATTATCTCATTTTGTGCTTCATCCATTATGCAACTCTGTCAAAGAGCTCTCTGCTCCTCCAAGGCAATTGATTAACATTGACCAGTTTTTCCTCATTTTTAGATGTAAGTAATGTAGTGAGATTAACACCACACTTATTTGCAGTAGGTTGAGTCTGTTATTTGGTCAAAGCAAAAGTTGTCCACAAAAAGCAGCTTGTTTGCTCAAATGCAACACAGGGCAACTGATTCTTGAATTGTAATTCATGGAAAAAATGATTTGATTCCTTTTTATAAGAAATTTCCTTTGAAGTCAGTACACTTTTTCGTTTTTTTAAACTTATTGTTATTTATTCACTTTTTTGTGGAATCAGGGGAAGACAGAATAATTTTGCACCACAACTTTTTGTAAGAGAGATAATTTGCTAATTTGAAACATTAATAAAAGCACGAAACTGTCCTAAATAATCGTGATGTGAACGACACAGTATTTAATTATTTTTAAACATTATGCTGCTAATTGCAATCTGCATTTGTTGAGGGAAAAGGAGGGGCAAGAGAGGATAAACTAAGAAAGAAATAACTGAAAAAAAATCCCTTAAACTACAATTTCAATTGCCATTTTATTACTAGAATCAAATTTAACATTTCAGGGGAGTCTCCCCCTTTCCATCTTAAATTACCAAAAAATATATTTGTTAATTATACTTGTACATGTTCATCTGTAAATTTAAATAGAAATTTAGCATGTAAAGCTTCCCAGAAAGTGGACAGATTCCAGAAGATTTAGGGAATGCTTTGATGAGGTTTCCTTCCCAGAAGTTAAATTTGCACTTTAATTATATTTTTCTATAAATGCAATCACACATGAGCAACGAGAATCTAGCTGTGTGAGGGGAAATAATACTTTACAATAACTGCCTTTGGTTGACAAGTTAAGCAATTGATACATTTTTAATTATAACACCTTGGAGCTTTTAAAGAAGTATTGTAGCTTTAAGCAATGAGAACCTCTGAAGCAAGACTTTCTATTGCTTTTTGTCAGGTTGATATAAATTTGCCTCAGGCAGTGCTACTGGCCAAAAACAATTTGAGTAGATTAAAAACCAAAGCAGATGGGCTTCTATAAATTGAGAGTGATCAATTCATAGATGGTTTTCATTTTAACCAGTTTTGACCATCATTTAAAGTATAATTTTTTATTTAACTAAATTATTTTTATTAAAGGCCCATTTTTATGAATTCCTTATTAATGGCTCAGGAAGAGCTGGATGAGTCTATGAAGAAGCTACTATTAACAAGTGAAAATAAATCCTAAGGTTTACTTGCTAAACATCTCTTTCTCTCTCTGTGTCTCTCTCTGTGTGTGTGTCTCTCTCTCCCACCTCCTTTCTCTTCACATACACACACACACACACACACACACAAATATATGTCTGTGTATGTATGTGTGTATATAAATATATTTAATTCTATAATGTATAAATACAGTATGTGTCCATTTTTCCACTATTCAAATGCCACTTTATGGTACAATCCTGGTTGAATCCATAAACTTTCTTAAAAGCCTTGGGGACTGTAAAAACAACGTGGGGAAAAGGAAGAAATAACACAGTGCAGTAATGAGGAGGCAGTCATGCTTCAGTGAATCCCTTAAAGTATAGATACTGCCCATATATACCAAAAAGGATATTTCATATTGAAATTGGAGAAGACCCCCTAAAATTTACACTGAAATGTGGCCCCTTAATGCTCCCTAGAAATGCTATCCGGGGTGCCACATGTGCTTCCAGAATTTGGGGTGCCATATGATTTCACCGCAGGCTTATTATTAAATCTCCAATATTAATAAGCCCAAGAGAGTTCTTGCCTAATATTTAGAGAAGAATTCTAAATATCAGCACAGATAAACGAGGCAGCATGGTACATTTTAAGCTTTTATTTAGTGAGAAAGATGCATAGGAGAGTGAGAGCTTTATTTAAGAGAGAGAGGTGAATGGGGTTCATACCGAGCACCAGGAACCAGCCACGTGGAAGAGCATCTAGGCCAGGAAGCCTGGAGCACATGGCCCGAAGGTCATGCGCCCTGGAGGTGCAGGGCTACAGCAAGCCCCCTCCTGGCAAGAGGCCAGGGAAGAAGAGCAGGCCGGGGCCACACCATGGCCCAGCTTTTAACCCACTTCCAAAGGGGAGTGGTTAATTAACCTGATTGGCTGGTTGGCACCCAGGTGTGGCCAGGTAGGGGCATGAGGTCACACAGGGGCGTGGTGAAGCTGTGGTCTTCCAGTTCACAAATCTAATCAATTTTAACCTGTATGCCTACCTACTTCATTCCCCCCTCAGAGACTCCAGACCTTAATCTTAAGGGGATGTTGATGGGCGTCGAGTCACCATCTTCTGAAGCTACTTCCTGTTTATTAGGGGTGCAGATTCTGCCTGTTCTTGGTCTGGAAGTCTCTGCCTATCCCATCTAATGCGTTCACGAGCTGGAGCTCCTTCAGTCACTGCCATCCTCCGTGTCTCCTGTGTGGTCATCATTATTCTAAGAAGCTGCTGGGTTCTTCTGGGTTATTTTAGATATAAATGAAGGTCCATTGTCACTCTGGAGTGAGCGTGGGAGTCCAAAGCATGGGACAATGTCTTTCAACAAGGCTTTAAACACCTCGTGTGCTTTCTCCATTCAGGTCGGAAAGGCCCCTATCCATCCTGTAAAAGTATCAATAAAGACTAGAAGGTACCTATGATTGCTTGTTGGGAGCATATTGGTAAAACCAACCAGAAAATTTCCACCTGTTTATGTTCCCCTC